GTGGCTTATCCTTTGAGACCTTCATTAGCCTCCCGCCAGCAAGTATGAGTTGGGATCATTGTAAACTACTGGAGAGGTTAAAATAATGTTGCAGAAAGAGATCAGTGTTTCTCTTTTCTTTGGTACCAGATCTATACCCAAAAGTCCCTTTAGACTGTGTAGTGCCTTTTCTTAGGTTGAGAAAGGTCCCAAATCACCCCAGAGTTGGTGCCAAGTTCTGATTGGCCCCTGAAATTGTTTAGTAATAAAAATCTCTACTAGTGTCTCAGCATCAAGTTTCTAGAATATTTCAAATTCTATCTCATAAAGAAGCCATTAAATAAAATTCTCTGAATTCACAGATTAGTTGGACTTCAGAGAGCTATACCGCATCATGACTTAGTCTCCACATATAAAATAAAGTTTTCTCCTCCAAGTCAGTTGGAGACAGCCATGGAAACTGAACCAGCAGATCTTTGTTAGAATGACACTCAGAGGTTTGTTGTGTAGAGGAGGAATAATAGTTCATACCAGGTCTTCTTTCAAAAAACCAACTCTTTGATTCATTAATTCTCTGTATTGTTTTCTTAGTCTCCATTGCATTAATTTCTGCTCTGATCTTTATAATTTTCTCCCTTGTATGGGCTTTGTGCTTGACTTGCTCTTCTTTTTCTAGAAGCTTGAGGTACAACATTAGGTTGTTTATTGTTGCTCATTCTCTTTTCCTGGTGTGAGAATTCACCGCTATAAATCTCCCTCTTCAGACTGCTTTCATTGCATCTGATAGGTCTCAGTATTGAAAGCACATTTTTGTTTAATTTTAGATACTGTTTAATTTCTTCTTTAATTTTATCTGTGACATGTTGCATGTTCAGGAGGGTATTATTTAATTTCCATGTGTTTATGAAGTTTTTGTGGTTTCTTTTGCCATTAATTTCCAATTTCATCACACTATGGTCAGATAGCATGCATGGGATAATTTCATTTCCTTTGCATTTACTTAAGCATGTTCTGTGGGCTAGTCTATGCTCTAGAAACCTTCCTATGTACAGCTGAGAAGAACGTGTATTCTGATGTTGTTGGATGGATCACTCTGTAAATATCTGCTAAGTCCATTTGCTCACAACTTTGGTTAAATTCTGATATTTCTCTGCTGACCTTTTGATCAGCAAAATCTATTTGATCTATTTCTTTGTGACAGTGGGATTAATGTCCCCCATTACAATTGTGTTATTGCTTATTTGATTTTTCATGCCTATTGATATTTGCCTTATATAGTTGGGTGCCCCCATATTTGGTGCATACATATTTGTGATTGTTGTCTCTACCACTTGAAGTTTTATGCCAGGTCTTGACATTTGTTTGTTTTCTGTCCTTCACAGGATTAGTTCAGTAGTGAGGAAGAATTATATTATTTAATGAGATATTTATAAATAAACTTAATTACAAATCATTAAAAAGTTGATTTGCCATGAATTTTAAACCCCAGAGACAGGGGCTGGGGATTTAGCTCAGCGGCAAAGTGCCTGCCTGGAAAGCGCAAGGTCGTGAGTTCGGTTCCCGGTACCGGAGAAAAACCAAAAAATAAATAAATAAATAAATAAATAAATAAATAAATAAACCCCAGAGACTAGAACAGCTCAAACTTAGGACCTAATATTTTCTGGTAAGTGTAACATTTCAGTATTAGAATCTGTGAAACAATACACATTGGGTTTCATCTGGGATTCCAAAATAGTTCAGCATTAAAGAACAAATCACTCCATTGCTTTGCTATTTCTGAGAGCAGGTGTCTGTGTTTATTACCAAGAAAATTAGTAGCTGTTAGACTTTTGTGTTTTCTCAGGACATAATTGCTCTAATCTAGACCTTCATATTCATCTGAATATTGCTAAGGGATTGCATTAGTATCCATGATCAATTAGTTTTCAGAAATAGTGGGTATAAGCTCTCAAAAGTGCTACCAAAGGATCTTTCATATACTAAGCCAGGAATTGGCTTTTTCTGCAAAGATCCAACAGTAAATATTTTAGATTTTGTGACACGAAGCCTCTCTGGTCATCCAGAATCTGTTATAGACAATAAATGGATGGATGTGGCTACATTTCAGTAAAATTTATTTACAGGGCCGGAGGGTAGCTCCATGGTAGAGCACTTGCCTATCATTCAAGAGGCCTTGGGGTCCACCCCCAGCACCACAAAAAAAAAATTATTTATACAAATAGGTAATAGGCTGGATTTACTCCACAGGCACTGATTTGCTGACTCTTACGCTAAACCCACATTGTCTACTAATATGCAAAGTCAGTCTTTTAAAGGGCCCTGTGTGCACGTAGTTATCCTTTTTAAAGATAATACCTTTCCTTTTTAAAGATAATGCACTGCACTGTATTTTTTAGCAGTAACTCTATATATAACTTAAAAAATTCAGTTTATAAGAGTACATTATTTCCTTGTTTAAGTTTCCTTCTTCAAACATACTATATATTTGTCTGTTTTATTTATTGTTATTATTTACTTTACTCTCATAAGTAGAATTTGTGTCTGTTTACTACCATATAATCAGTGTCTAAAAAAGGGCCTAGCATACAGTAAGTAGCTACTCAGTATTTACTCAGTGAGTGTGTATATTATCTTAAACAGTGGACTTAATTCTTCACTTATAAAAATTTGAGTTGGGTAGCTGAGGCAGGATTGCAAATTTGAATCCCACTTGGGAAGCTGAACAAGACCTTGTCTCAACATAAAAAAGGACTGGAGGTATATAGCTCAGTGGTAGAACACCCTTGGGTTCAATCCCCAGTGCTGGGAAAAAAATTCATTTACATTCATTCTGACAGTTTCACCTGGCAAATATATACATGTTTTACAAGCTGTATACTCTATATTAATATTTTTTCCATTTAGGAAGAAAAGTTCAATATTGTGATTACTCATTTTTTAGGATAATTTTACTTATACCAAAATGGATTAAAAGAATTGCAGGCTTCATTTGTATTTTACTAAGTAAAATGAAACATAAAGGTAGCAAACTTAATGGGCCTCAAAAAAAGATTGTGGCCAAAGGACTAAAGCTTTTAAGCACTGAAATTAAAATACAGAATTAATTGTACTGTATTGCTTCTAGTGGAAAAAGAAAGCTATGCACAGTCTCTTATAGCACAGTTGCCTGAGTGGTAACTCAGTTCATGACCTTGATTCTTTCCACGATTCTGGTAGCCAACCAAGTTAGATGAGGACTGAATAAAATTCAGTAGTTGAGCTGGAACTGGTGGCACACACCTGTTTCAGTAGTAATCCTACTACTCATGAGGCTGAGGCATGCGCAGGAGGATCACTGTGAGTTTGAGACCAGTCTGGGCTACATATGAGAGTTCAAGGCCAGCCTGCATTACATGGTGAGATGCTGTTTGAAAAAAAAAAATTCAGTGGTAAGGTTCAATCTTGATCTTATTTGATTCAAATTTGATTCAGTTCTTATCCAGTTTGGTTTGTGACCAGGATCATGGAGAGAACTGAGTTTATGAACTGAGGTACCACTGTATGTAGTTTTGGAAAGAGTAGAATTTAAAGACTAGTCAACCTGAGAAGGTAAGTGGGTTGATGTCTGTAGCAATTCAAGTAATATTATTAATTGGTTGGGACTTTAAATATATGGTTTTTGGTTTTTTTTTTTTTTTGGTTTTTGGTTTTTCTCCGGTACCAGGAACCGAACTCACGACCTTGCGCTTGCCAGGCAGGTGCTTTGCCGCTGAGTAAATATATGTATTAGTTTGCCTTGCATGGAGCAAAAGTTGGTGTTGGTTGCTTGGTTGCTTGGTTGCTTGGTTGCTTGGTTGGTGAATGAAGCCGGTGACCACTGACTGAATTAATCTTGGCTTGCCACAGCTGCAGGTAAGTCCATTCCTAAGGTTGAGCCAAGTTCAACTAGATGTTTTCTGTTTAAAAGTTACTTTCCATCAGCTGTGTAAAATGAAGACAGCTTCATATGCTAGAGTTGTAACCTTGTTTTTGAAGTTTGGCTCAAGAGGAATTATTTAATAAATGCTCTTTGGAATATCTCCTCCACCCCATCCCACTCCCATTTCTTTAGCTTTTTAGTCTTAACAAGAGTTAGTTATATAAATTTTTGTAAGTAGCTGGTTTTGATTGTGGTACTTTTAGGGGCTCATGCTCATCTAACAACATAACCTCCCATGGGAAATTTCAGTCTCTGCAAATTTGTGTCAGTGTGATAGCATTATCGCATAACTGTTCTGTGTATTTATTCCATAAAAAAGAGTTACAGTGATCTGTTGGTAAATCCAGCCTTTTATATTAGGATTAGGTACTAGGTGAAAAGTATACAAAAGCTACAAAATCTTTTATTTTCAAACAAAAATCATTGTTATTCAGAATATTCCTTTTGTAAACTTACCTATAATGACATATGGGTGTTTTAAAGTAAGATTTTTGTCCTCAAGATATTTCTCCAATTCCTTGTTTGGTACTCTCGTGATATTTTAAAACTTTATTTAATTTCTGAACTGTTATATTTAAAAACAAAGCCAAAATGTAGCATAAATCTAGTCACTTCCTTGCCTAAGAGGCCTTTGGTGCAGTGTCCTAGTTCAGTGGGCTGCAGAACGCATCTTCTACCTCTTGCTTCCTTTCAAGCTCCTGGAAAACACCTAGGTGCCATGTACCTCAACTTTGTCTCACATTCTGCTCCCTAAGAGAATGGTTTTCTGCTACTTCTTTGCCTGGTGATCTCGTCTCCTTATATTGTACCTCTTTTATAAATTCTTCCTTGTGCTCAGATACAAATTTTCATTTAGCACCTCTAACAGATCATATTGAATTGTTTGTATGTTTGTGTTTTTTTAAGAAGGGAATACTTATCTCCTTGTATTTAGCTGGTACTTCATAACTAATTTGGAATTGATAAATAAATTAATATTGGGAAGTGTTGATATTTTTCCAAAATTGCTTTTTAAAAAAAGTTCTGTCAGTAGATTAATTAGATGGCTTCTTTTTTAAAGTACTGCACCTGCCTTGCCTTTGAGGGAAGTAAAGGAGACTGAATCTGAACATCAGAGCTCCACAGAATCTGTGACTTCCCCAGTGTCTCAGCAGAACAGTTCCCTTTCTGGTGGTCTACTACAAGTGAACAGCAGTTGCAACTTACATGATACAGATGAAGATGAAGGAAGGTAAAATATCTGTAAATATTTTATTTTCCTTTAAAGGAATGTTACCAGGAATTCTTTTTCTGGAAATAAAACAGAACAGTGTAGTCCACAGGGAAAGCAAGAGAGTACCCAGCCACGTCATTGCTGCCGAAAGGCTGGTTAAGATGCGGACGAGTGACTTTGACAAGGAGCAGTTTCAGCAGTGGTCACACAGGAAGTTGAATGCTGTGGATGAGTGGGGACAATGCCTCAGATAACTTTTACTGGGAAAGGCAGGGAAGTAGGTGTTACTGAAGAAGAATGTGGCGTTTAAGAGTTTTTTTCTCTCAACAAGATTTTAGAGTCTATTTGCATGCTGCTAGAAATGATCTAATAGAGAAAAACATGTTTATTCATTTTAATTCTTAAGAGCATTTGCAAGATTCAGAAACTATTATGGTTATAAACAAAAATGGATGATAATATGGGTTAACACATTCTCAATGGAGCCATACATGCATGACTGTCCAGTGCTGCCCAATGGGATGGTCCTGTTTGTACCACCAGTGGTTCAGCTGGTGAGAAATGTAAATGTGATATTATTTCACTTAAAAACAAGAAACACTTGAAGATAAGTATTTCACAACATATGGTGTATCCCTGTGTTGTAGCTACTTTTCTCTTGTTGCTGGGACAAAATACCTGACACCCAAAATTAAAGAAGGAAGGTTTCTTTAGCTCACAGTTTGTGGAGATTTCAGTCCATACTCACTGGATCCCAGGCAGAGTGTCACATGACAGAGGGTAGCAGTTTGTGGTGGCAGAAAACAGCAAAAGCAACAAGAGCAAAAAGGGAGGAGCAGCAGCAGCAAGCAAGCCTCTTTCCTCCCTTATCCTGTACGCAGGCTACCCATCCTAGTGTGGGTGTAGCACTTGCACATGAATTAGTCATAAACTCCAGAAACCCACCTCAATGACTGCATGATTTGGCAGGAGGCTTGCAAGTAGCCAATCCAAGAGTATTATTCAGTTCTCTTTGCTGCTGATTGGTTGCTGTCCTTTAACCCATCTCTACATTATAACAGGTTGATGTACTGAATGTAGCTGTCTCCATTATTCTCAGTTTTGTTCTTCTTAAATCATGATTTGGCAGGAGGCTTGCAAGTAGCCAATCCAAGAGTATTATTCAGTTCTCTTTGCTGCTGATTGGTTGCTGTCCTGTAACCCATCTCTGCATTATAATAGGTTGATGTACTGAATGTAGCTGTCTCCATTATTCTCAGTTTTGTTCTTCTTAAATCCCTAAGGTCCCTAAGATGCTGCCAAAATGCCCTACCCCCTTTTTAGGTCCATCTTTATTAATACAGTATTTTATTAAATTATATAATTGCAGGAGACATAGCATATTTAGGGTTTAAACTATAAAAATAGGAATTTATAGGCATTTTTCTGACCATAGCTGAAATGTACAGTTTTTTACATTTGCAAGTGCTCTAGGAACATAACCCTGGGGGTCCCCTGTATTGTGAACCATTGCTAGGTGTAGATGCTTACCACCTGTATGTGCTTGGGCAAGTTACTTGCCCTCTCTTCACCTAGTTTATTCTTCTATAGAAGAATATGTTACCTACCTCACAGAATTGTGTTTAGCACATGTAGGGTGCTTAGAATAATGCCTAGAGGTTACATAGTAGGTCCTGAAAAGTTATCTTGTATCACCATTTAAAAAGAGTTTCCTCCATATAGAGACCTAAGTAATGTTTTCTAAATGGGTTTTAGTGCCTGTAAAAGTTTGGTTTTGGTTCTATTAAAAATGATGGTAATAGAATAATATTTTTTCCATCAAATGACATAACAGTTTTCTTCTGCTTTACCTGTAAGAAAGTTTGGTCTTAATTTGATTGTTGGTTATATTATTAGTAGTAGTATTCTTTGTCCCTAAAGTGTTACCCTTTGCTCAGAGTTGAATTTCCCTTCTAGAAAATTATATTTTAAATATCCTGTAAACTTTATGAACAGGAGAAATAAATGACAAGCTGAAAATTTATATAAAAAGATATCAGTTTTATGTATTCTTTGTGTTTTATATATTCAATATTTGCCTGAAGGGATTACATGGGTTTTTAATTTTTTTTTTAGGTCCACAAAGAAAACATCTAATGAAAAGGGCAAGGTATTGTAAAAAATAATAATAATAATCAAAAGTAGTATATTGTTGAAAATATGACATGAAACTGCAATTAGCCATAACCAAAATAAATCTATACCCAGATATATAGTGATCGAGATCCCAGAAATTCAGCAAAAGAACAGAATATTAAAAGCTGTTGGAGAAAAGAAACAGACCACCTATAGAGCAAAGCCCTTCAGAAAGAATCACAGTAGAATTCTCAACACAAACCATCAGGTCGAGAAGAACTTGGAGTGAACTATTTCAGGCCTTTAAAAGAAAACAACTTCCAACCCATATTGATATACCCTGAAAAACTATCATTCAAAATTAATGAGGAAATGAAATATTTCCATGATAAAGAACAACTGAAGAAATTCATGAGCACTAAACCATCCCTACAAAGAGTACTGAAAGATATTCTAGAAAGAGATAAAAATGACCAAAACAACAGAAAGAAACCACCAAGCAGAGCAATTGGTAAAACAGAGGAAAAGGAGAAACTATCAACAGGAAAATGACATGACAAAGATAAGCCAATACATATCAGTTATAACCATTAATTTAAATGGTCTCAATTCACCAGTCAAAAGAAGCACACTGGCAGAGTGGATCAAGAAACAAAATCTAACCAGTATGCTCTATAAAAGAAATACATTTAAGTCAAAAGGAAATTCATGGACTGAAAATCAAAGGATGAAAAACAATACTCCATGTGACAGGATCCTGGAAAAAAGCAGGTGTAGCCATTCTGTTTGCAGACAATGTGAACATCAAAAAAAGAATGATCAGAAGAGATAAAGAATGTCACTATATACTTGTTAGGGGGAAACTTCAAGAGGAAGATATAACAATCATAAACATCTATGCACCAATTACAGGAGCACCCAACTATATAAAACAAATTTTAATAGACATGAAAAATGAAAAAAGCAATAACACAATCATAATAGGGGACTTTAACACCCCATTGTCACAGATAGATCAACTGACAAAAAATCAGCAAGAAATAACAGAACTAAAACAAACCTGTGAACAGGTGGACTTAGTAGACTTTTATAGAGTGTTCCACCCAACAGCATCAGAATGCACATTCCTCTCAGCTGCATATGGGACATTCTCTAAAATGGACCATATACTAATACATAGAACATGCTTAAGGGAATGCAAGGAAGTTGAAATTATCTCATGCATACTATCAGATTATAGTGCAATGAAATTGGAAATTAATGACAAAGGAAATTGCAAGAATTCCATAAACATATGGAAATTAAATCACATCCTCCTGAACAACCAATGGGTTATAGATGAAATTCAAGAAGAAATTAAACACAATTTATAATCAAACGAAAATGCCAATACAATTTACAGGAACCTGTGGGACACAATGAAAGCAGTCCTCATAAGGACATTTATAATGGTGAATTTCCACATCAGGAAAACAGAATGAGCATGAATAAACAATCTTATGCTGCACCAAGAGAGAGAAATAAAAAGAATAAAGATAGGAAAGGAAGAAGTGAAATTATCATTCTTCACAGATGACAGGTTCCTCACATAGAAGACTCCAAGAGCTCCACCAAAAGACCTCTAGATCTAATAAGAAAATTGCTCAAAGGAAGGAACAACTGGAGTGAGGGAAAGAAGAGAGTACTAAAGCATTAGATATATATATGGATTGGCAGCATAACTGTACTGCTGATGTCTGATGGTTTATTGAGGGGAACAGTTAATGATTAAAAGGTTTTTTAATATTGTTATATTTTAACCAATTTTGCATGCTTATGTCTGGTAACTTGAGCAACTTATGTGAAGACAATTTGCAGTATAACAACCATTGGTGAATTCTTACAATCCTGTCTAGTGAAACTATTATTGTCTCTAATGTTCTTTTAAATTATTATTTTCTTATTCCCTTTAATGATTTGATCAATCCTCTATTCTTACAGCTGGTAATTTGAGCAACTTCGTTGAAGATGACAATGTGTAATATAACAACCACTGTTAATCCCTATCATTTAGTTTTAAACTTCGTATCATTTTTAATGTCCTTGCTTTATTTTGTTTGTATTTTGCTATTGTTCTTTTTTTGTACTATTTTCTTTAAAATTAAAAAAGCTATTTTAAAAAATCAAAGTAACAGATTAGAAGATGTAAACACAGCTACAAACACAGTCAGCCACCTTATCTTTGACAAAGGGCCCAAACATACTCACTGGAAGAAAGATAGCATCTTTAATAAATGGTGCTGGAAAAACTGGCTCTCCACATGCTGAAGACTAAAACTAGACCCATGTCTGTCACTATGCACTAAACCAAAGTGAAAATGGATCAAAGATCTAAATATTAAAACACAAACACTAAATAGAGCTTTTCCCTTTATCAGTCCCTTGGACACAGCAGGTCTGAATTCCTTGCTCTAGAATGTTGCATCAAGAGTTCCAAACATCAAAATAAAAAATGTTAAGAGGAAATCCCCATCTTATGACTCTAGTCCCTTTGGTCCACAGGGGCTCATTACCTCTTTTTACTAAAAGGAAGATTAAATTACTACAAAATGGGGAGAAAACTGCCTGTTAGACACCTGCTCTCCTAGGAGTGAAGAGTGCAGGCTCCTGTACAAAGAAGTGTCTCACATCTGAACTGCATACTGAGCATGCACGGTGGTTGTTAGTTCAGTAATATCCTCTGATGATGCAAAAAAAGTGAAAGAAAAATTAGTTTCACAAGCTGTTTGTACTCAAACATATTTTCTCAGTTTCAGAACCTCAGCTATTTTATTGAGTGGAAAGTCTTGAACTGTAAGGGTTTAAGAAGAATAATGTTGCATTTCCTTATGTTGCAGGAAACACTTTTTATAGTAATGTCAGATTGTCTATGAACAAACTCACTTTTTTAGACATTGATAAATTCTTTTCTTCACATGATATTTTATACAAAAAAACTTCAGATGTGTTATTAGATGTGACTGGTTTTAACAAATCCTATTAGATTTGTATCAACTAGTTACATGTTCTATTCACAGTCTTTTGTGAATCATTGCCTTTTTGTTTATGGCATTTTTTTTTCCCAGTACTGGGAATCAAACTCACGACCTTGCGCTTGCCAAAGTGCCTGCCGAGGCACTTTGCCACTGAACTAAATCCCCAGCCCCACTTTTTTATTTAAAAAGATGGCCTATTTTGAGCCTTTGTATAGTTACATTCCTGTTTTTGTAACAAAAGAAGAACTTTAAACTGTCCCAAACAGAAGAATAATGGCCATCAGAAGTACGTTTTGTTTTAGTGTGAGTGGCCATTACTATATTTGTTTATTGTAAAGGTGGACATTTAATGTTCAGTGCACTTTTAAATAAAGAGTAATTAAAAATAAAAAACAAAACACAAACACTAAATCTACTGGAAGAAAAATTAGGTGGAAATCTTGAAGACATAGGGGTAGGCAGAGAATTCATGAACAAAACCAAACTGCGTGGGAAATACTTCAAAGAATCAACAACTGGGATCTCATCTTATTGAAAAGTTTTTGCACATCAAAAGAAATCACCAACAGAGTAAAAATAAAATCCATGAATTGGGAAAAAATTTTAGACAACTGTCACTCAGACATAGGATTTCTATCTAGAACATATTCAGAATTGAAAAAAGTCAGGCCCCCAAAATTCAAAGACCCAATCCAAAAATGGGCATCTGAGATGAATACACGCTTCTCAGATGAAGAAATACTAATGGAAAATAAATATATGAAAAAATGTTCAACATCATTGGTCATTTGAGAAATGCAAATTAAAGCAACACTGAGATTCCATCTCACTCCAGAAAAAAATTACTATCATTAAAAAATTAAATTTGAACCAATAACAAATGCTGGAGAGGTGATGGGGAAAAAGGAACCCTTCCCCACTGCTGGTGGGAGTATAGATTGGTGAAACCACTGTGGAAACCAGTTTGGAGATTCTTCTCAATACTAGGATTAGAAGTCCCACTAAACCCAGCTATTCCCCTCCTGGGTATTTTCCCAGAAGAATTAAAAACATCATACCACAGTGATATATGTGCACCCATGTTTATAGCAGCACCATTTGTCATAGCTAAATCTTGGAAACAACTCAAATGCTTATCCACTAAGGAATGGATAAAAAAGATGTGGAATTTTTATATAGTAAAGTATTACTTAGCTATAAAAAATATAAACCTGAGGCTTTTATACGTAAATGGATGCAAACAGACACCATACTCATAAGTGAAATAAATTGGACCCTCATGAGTAAACATCATATTGTCTCCCTAGTGTAAGAACATGAAAGAGTAAGTGGAACCCAAAATGTACAATAGATATTAAGAAAGGGAAAGAAATTGCTCAAAAGGAGAAACAACTGGGATGAGGGAAAGGAGAAAAAGAAGGAATGGAAAATATATATATGTATGCAAAAGGATGGCTGGGATAACTGTACTGCTGATGTCTCAGGGTTTATTGAAAAGGACAGTTAATGCTTTATTTTTTTACCAATTTTGCATGCTTAGATCTGGTACTCTGAACTAATCTGAAGATAACAATATGCAATATAACAACCATTGGTGAATTCCTATCCCCTTGTTTGCTGAAACTCTGTATTGTTTATAATTTTTTGGTTTTTTTTTTATTCTCTTTAATGGTTTGATCCATCTTGCATTCTTATACGTGGTGATCTGACCAACTTCGATGAAGATAAAAATATGTAATATAACAACCACTGTTAATCCTTATCATTTTTTTCTGAAATCTTGCATCATTCTTATTGTTTTTGCTTTGTTTTGTTTTTGTCTATGTTGTTGGCATTTTGCTATGGTTCTCTTTTTAAATTCTCTTTAAAATAAAATAAAAAAGAAAATATAACATGAAAGGTAAAGTAATACATTATAATAATACACATATACAGATTAAAAGATACATTATAAAAATAATGTGAGAAAATAGAGAATCTTTTGTTATATAAAGACACTTTTAAAAAGTTACTAAGAAACAGTAGCCAGTTCTTGTGTTTCTGTTTAAATAAGAAGAGGATATTTACTACTTCTGTATATTTAGTACATAGTATAAACACTTGGGGACATTTTGAAATAATATTATTTACTTTATAGATCAAGAAGAAGATAAATGCTGTGTATGGCCTTGACGACTTATCTCAGTCGTCTAAAACACCCTTAGAGGATAGTGAGTCGCCTCATATTCAGTATGAGAATATTTTGCTGCTAGTAGAACAACTGCGAGTGGAGTGCAAAGGTAGGACCAGTAAGAAAATGTAAGGTATTCTGATGGATTGCATAGTAGTGGGTGTACCCATTGCTCAGCACTGTGCCATCCAGCATAGACATATGTGGCACAGTTCTATTTGTGCCAAAGCATGCTTTATTTATATCAGCATATGATGAGAGGTACTGTACACTCCAACCACAGAGCAACAACCATTCCCACTGCTCTTCGTAGTAGGAGTGGCATTCCCAGACGTTTTGTTAACTGCTTCTCTCCTGTGCCTCAATCGTTATCAAGTCAGCAAACTATAATCTCTGCCTGAAGTACTCTAATTAGATCTGTTTCCTTGCTAGTCACCTCCTCCTGAAAGCAAGGTCTGCTCACTAACCGTAAGATTGTATTTTTAAAGATTTAGACCAGATCATGTTAACCCCTTGCTGCAAACCTACCTATCACTTCTAGCTGTAATGTTAAAGATTTCACTCCTCCATCTTTATCCTGCAGCATTGTGGCCTATGTTTGTTCTTGCAATAGAGCTCTTTGTTTTCAGTAGCTTAGGGAGGTACTGAAATATGATGACCTGTGCATATGTAAAGTGTACAATTTGATAAGTTTTGATGTATTATTTAAACACATTTAATCACCACAATCAAGACAGCTAACTAGTCCATCATCCACTAAAAACACCTCATGCTCCTTTGTTGTCCATTACTGAGAAACTGCCAAATTTTTTTTGCAGTGCTTGTATCACTTTCCATACCCTTCAGTGTTGTATGAGAGGTCTAGCTCCTCCATATTTTCATGAGCACATAGTATTGCCTCTGTGTGTGTGTGTGTGTGTGTGTCTGTGTATGTATGTAGCCATTCTAATAGGTGTTGTTATACATATTAGTATGATTTTAATGGGCATCACCCTCATAATGAATAATGTTGAGCATCTTTCTGTGTGCTTATTTTTCATTTGTATATCATCTCTGGTGAACTGTCTTTTCAAATTCTTTAACATTTTAAAAATTAGGTTATTTGTTGAATTTTAAGAATTGATTCTATGTTGTGGATACCATTCCATTATCAGCCATATTTTTTGAGAGGATTTTTTCCCTCAGTTTGTGGCTTGACTTTTTATTCTCTTAATAGCATTTTTGAAAAGCAGAAGTTCAGAATTTTAACAGTGTCCAGTTTATGTATTTGTTCAATTATACATTTTGGCTTTTATGTCATTACTAAGGAATCTTTATCTAGCATAGGGTCACTGAGATTTTTTCCTGTGATTTCTTTTAGGAATTTCATAGTTTTAGATCTGTGACTCGTCTTGAGTTCAGTTTTGGCTATCCAGTAGTTCCAGCTCTGTGTGTGGAAAAGGCTATCCTTTTCCTCTACACTGTCATGCTTTTGTCAAAAATAAGTTGGTTATTTATGTGTAGATCTATTTCTCTATTTTTTGTTCTATTCTGTTGATCTTTAGCTTTATGTCAGCATCACCATTTGGTTAATATAGGATTTAATGCTTGAAGTCAACCTTCTTATCCCTTCTATTTTGTTCTCTTTTTTCAAGATTATTTTTGCTATTTCTAGATCCTTTGCATGTCTATACTGTTTGTCTTATTTAGTGTTATGGATCAAACCCAGGGTGCTTCTCCACTGAGGAACATCCCCAGCCCTCTGTATGAACTTTAGAATCACCATGTCCATTTAAAAACAAACAAAAAAGCCTGCCAGGAACTAGATAGGGGAGAATTACCATCTTAATAATGAACTTTTTGGCTTCTGAACACAGTACATCTATTTACATTGATTGCATTTAATTTTCTCAGTAGTATTTTGTAGTTTTTAGTGTATCAACTTTTACATATCTTATCAGATTTATCTGCATTTCAGATATTTTCATATAAGGGTAAACTTTTTCTTTTTAAAATACTTTTCTTTTTTTAATTAGTACATATTAATTATACAGACTAATGGACTTCATCTGTCATATTTATGCATGCATACAATGTCCTTCAGTCATTTCCACTCCATATTATCCCCCCACCTTAATGCAATGATCTCCATCCATTTTCTTCCAAGTGACATGATTTTCTTCTTCTTCATGGATGAATATTACTCCATGCAATTTTTGTTATCCAGTTATTGGTTGATGGGCACCTAAGCGTAACCCATAACTTGGCTGTTATGAATTTTTCCACAATAAATATCAGTATACAGTTATCTGTATAATATGCAAAGTTTTAATTCTTTCAGGTATTTACAGAGAAGTGACATAGATGGATCAAATAGTAGCTCTATTTTTAGTGTTTGACAAATTTTAACACTGATTTCCATGGTATCTATTCTCATTCATATTCCCACAGCAGTGTGTAAGAGTTCCTATTTCCCCACACCGACAACAGCATTTGTTATTTTTTGCATTCATTATGATAGCCATTCTGACTAGATTGAGAAAGCATTTTAACGTAATACTTGTTTGCATTTCTATGATGGCTGAGTAAAAGTGCACGTTATCGTGTCATTATTAGGCATGTGTGTCTTTCTTGAGAAGTATTTGATCAATTCATTTGCCCACATTGATTGGGGTTGGGGGTAGTGCTTGTAAGTTGTTTGGTTCAAGACTGTGTCACCTTCTCTAATCTGTCTCTTTATTCCTTGAGGTCCTTTGCCATGCAGAAGCTTTTTCTTTGGTGTGATTCCATTTAACAATTCTTGCTATTATTTCCTAGCTATTGGAGTCCGATTGCAGGAAGTCATTGCCTGTGCCCATATCTTGCGCTTGCCAGGCAGGCACTTTGTCGCTGAGCTAAATCCCCAGCCCCACTTTTTTATTTAAAAAGATGGCCAATTTTGAGCCTTTGTATAGTTACATTCCTGTTTTTGTGTCTAGGTTTTCTTCAGCATTTTCAAAGTTTCAGGTATTAGATGCATGTTCAGTTCATTTTTGTAAAACTAAAAATGGAAATTACATTTGACCCGGCCATGCCCCTTCTAGGCATCCTCCTGAAAGAGTTGAAGATATCATAGCCATACATACATACCAAGTTTTATAATTGCACAATTCATAATAGATAAATCTTGGAAGCAGCCTGTTTCTCCATCAACAAACAAACGGATAAAGAACATTTGGTATCCATACACAGTAGAATACTATTCAGATATAGTATAGTGAAAGATAAGTTTGAGTCATTTGTAGAAAAATGAATGTGACTTGAAAACAATGTTAAGTGAAATAAATCAGACATAAGCTTAAATATAGTATGGTTTCTCTCATATGAGAAATACAAACCGTAAATAAAGAGCAAAATAAAAGACAGATATAAGAAAATAGGGAGATAGATCTTTTGCAAATGGGAATGGGACCAATAGATAGATTGAGGGGGGAGGGAAGGAAGCAGAAATCAAAAGAATTAAGACATATATTGCCAAGTACCAACAATGACTGTAATCATTAGGTAACGCAAATATGAACTTAACAAATGAAATGGAAGCCAGGTATGGTGGCACACACCTGTGATCCCAACACTGAGGAAACTGAGGTAGGAAGTTGACTGCAAGTTTAAGGCCAGCCTGGACTACATAGCAAGACCTTGTTTCAATATTTCAATAAAAGAAAAGAAAATGCGGGGGATGGGATCAAGAGAAGGAGGAAGAGAGCATAGAGGGTATGAGAAGGGGAATAAAAATAATGAAGATATGTTAAGTATAGCTACCTACTCCTAAGATGAATGTTGCATGAAATACTGGACTAATTCACAATAGGAGGAAGATAGCAACTGTGTGTGTTTGGGTTGGCTGATAAAGTGGCTGGCATTCAAAACCAAAGTCAAATTATGGGGCCATAAGCAAACACTGGGATTTTTGATGTTTCAAACATTATCAGAGATTCCAAAAGAGACTCAGCCAGGGCCTTCTTTGTCCCAGCAGAAGTATGATCACCTATCACAGGCATTAAAAGACTCTTAGCATTAATTCTCAGCCACAGAAGAGCCCTAGGCTTGGGAGGAATGGATCTGTAAAGCACTTGTGAACCAGCTAGGTGAGCCAATTTTGGGCAAGATGATCAGTTGCTTGAAATCACAACTGTTGGTGGCCTTAAAAGGATGTCTGAGACAAGTTTCAAATTTCCATGTGTTCTGCATTCATGTTGAGGTGGAAATCCTGAGACTTCCACAAAGCACTGAAAAGCCTGCTTCCCCTCTCCAGCATCCTATTTTTGTGAAATGGAACAAAACAAAAATGAAAACAAAACAAGCTCATGAGAAAAAAAATCTAATCTTTTTTTCTTTCTTTCTTTTCAACTCTATTGTGATCTGTGACATACTATTTTGTACTTTTATGCACTTTTTCAAGATACCTTTAGATTTTTTCTTCCTTCTCCTTTTTATTCCCTTTCCTTCAAGCTTTGCTTTCTTTCTTGTCTCATTACTTCTTCTTCTCCTTTCCTTTTCATTTATTTTCTTATTTATTTAGAATCTGAAGCCTTTACCCTGAGCTATGTCCCCAGCCCCTTTTCCTTTTAAAAATACACTTTAGTATTAATTTTACTTCCATTAATGCCTATTTTTAATGCCTGTTCTGTGTTACTATTTCCCTTTGTCTTTTTTGGTTAATGGAATTATTTCTCCGTTGTCAGTGTCACTGGTCGTTATTCTCTCCTCTCAGACCTGTGCTGAGGCTTAAACCTAGCACTTGAACATGTTGAGTAACTGCTCTAACACTGGGACAGACCCACAATCCCAGGTGCATCCTCAAGAAAATAACTGCTTATAACATTCACATGCTAGTGGAAGAGATACCTACTGCAATAGATGTGCCAATCTCAGAATATAAACAGAAGGAACATGGAAGAACAAGGCAATAAGATGCCTCCAAAAGTTTACATTCCTCAGTAACTGAATCCATGGGTACTAAAGTAGATGAACTGGACAGAGAATTCCAAAAAATGTCAAAATAATCTGAATTCAAAGAAGATGAAGATAGCTGAATAAATTAAGGAAGAAAATACAGGTTATGAAAGATGAATTCAATACAGAGATACAGATTCTGAAAACAAACTAAAGAAGTGGACATTTTAGTTAAAAAATTGAAAGTCTCCCCAGTGGGCAGAGCAAGCAGAAGACAGAATACAAAGTCTTGTAGATAAGGTGGATGAACTAGAATGTTCAGACAATAATAAAGAAAGTAAACACTCTAAACAAAATATACTTCTCTGGGACCACATTAGAGGATCAAACTTAGCTGGGCATGATGGTACTCGCCTTTAATCCCAGCCTTCAGGAGGCTGAAGCAGGAGGATCACTGTGAGTTTGATTATTTTCTAGACATATTTTTGTTACTGATTTCTTATTTGATTGTTTTATGATCAGGGTCATGTTTTGCATGGATTAAATCATTTTGACCTAATCTTACTTGGAGACTATTCTCTACATATATTCCATGCATTTGTGGCATACTTTTTCCTTTACTTTTTTTCAATATTTCTAGGCTTTGTGGTTCATCTGTAAGGTTTTTGAAATTATCTGATATCCCCCCACAAAATCTGGCCTGTACAGTTCAAGTCTGTGTTGTTCAGGGTCAGCTATAGTGTTGTGTGCCATGCCATTTGATTGCTGTCAATTTCCATCTCTATAAGTGCAATTTGGTTTTTTAAAAATATCTTCCATAACTCTTCTGACTTTATTTTTGGATACAGTTTACTTTCCTATAAACAGCTTCATCCTTCCTGGTCTTGCTTTTATGATTTGTTAGGTGTATCAGAACAATGTTTAGCCAGGTATGGTGGTGCACTCCTGTAATCCGAGCACTTGGGAGGCTGAGGCAGGAGGATCGTTGTGAGTTTGAGGCTAGCCTGGGCTACAAAGTGAGTTCAAGACCATCCTGAACTTCATAGTGAGACCCTGTCTCAAAAATACAAAAAAATAAATAAATAAATAAAAAGAAAAAACAGTGTTTAGTCTATGATTAATTCCCCAGTGCTGAGGCAAGATCTTTCTGATTACTCATTGTCCTGTGACTTGTCAGTTTCTCCAACCTATGTGAGCACCCGCTTCCTCTGATCTTTTCAAATGTTTTTTCCCCTGCTGCTTGAAGTGGTGTCATGCCTGTGCTGTTACTCTGCTCAGTACTAAAGGATAGAGGACTCTGCAGACCTCCAGGGTTCTTTCCATTTTGTCCTCTCCTCTCTGTTGCTCTCCCTTGTGACCTCTGTCTGCTGTGGTTTTATTAGACTCAGCTTTATCCCCTCACTCATCCCCTTCATTCCCCCAAGGAGTATACTGGACTCCAGTTCTTTCCCTTGTGTTGGGGCAGGGTACTAAGACACTCAGAATACTTTATTTGTGTCCTCTCTTAGCAGCGATCATTGTGATCGTTGTCTTCATTGCCTAAAGTTCATTGTCCTAAAAATTGATTTATTGTATTTTTGACTGCTTTGTTGTGGTTGTTTCAGTAGGAATTTAAATTCGTACCTACAGCTCCATCTTGCCTAGAAGCAGATTGCCAGAGTCTCAGCATGCACTGTAGCTTAACAAGGCTCTTATATCTTAAACAGTTATTTTACTTCTCTTTCTTTTCCACTAGACTTTAAGCTAAACAAGAGTAGAAACCTCCTCTATTTCTCAGCAGAGCTCAGTAAAATGTGCTCAGTTGTGGACACACACTGTATCTATACTCATTCAGTGTGTTAATGATTGAATTGAAAATGCGGTCTTTTACACACAAAAAGTACTCATTTATTTCCATCTTGTTTTCTCCCTGATACAGATTCTACTACTGTATTAAAAATCTGGGATGCAATACATTCATATAAAGCAGTAATAGAACTTAAAAAAGATCATGATGAAGTGCTTACAGGAAAAATTAAAATACTGGAAAATAAGTTGAGGGGACTACAGAAGGAGCTAACAGAAGCAAAAGAAGTGAAATCACAGTTAAAATGTGGGAAAATACAACGAGAAAGAGAAATTGGCAATTTAAGGTATGGTGACCCTGTTCTAAAGAAATGTTTAAGCTTCATACTAATGATATGGATGGGAAATTTTGTAGTTGGTGATTTATTGTCTTTTGTTTTGCAAAGAAGAAAACTTCAAGTCTATAGAGTGTGAGTTCTTGGAAATGATAAATTGATAACTGAAAATGTCTAATAATTAAGTGCATACTTTTTCTAAATAATAATTCTAGTGGCTATATGGAAATCTCTTTATTTAGCAAATAGAATTTGAGGTTTTGTTTTTATATTATAAATGATGCTGCAAAGAACATTGCTTATGTAAATCATTTTCTATATCTTTACTTTGAATACATTCTTGATATAGGGTTATTTTACTAAAGTATGAGAACTTAAAAGGCCTTTTATCAGTATTTCTAAATTGTTCTCATGAAAGTTTATAATAATTTACACCATCTCCAACAGTGGAAATGGCCACTGCTTTAGTTACTTTTCTTGTTGCTGAATCAAAATAACCAATACTCAAAGTTAAAGGAGGAAAGATTTATTTCAGCTCACAGTTTGTAGAGGTTTCAGTGTAATCAGCTGGCTCCAAGGCAGGGTGGCATGATAGAGGGGCACCATAGAGAAGAAACAGTTCATGGCAAAGCTGGCCAGGTTGAAACCAGCAAAGCAGTAAAGCAGCAAGCAGCAAGAGACAAGTGACCACATTAACCCTGTACGTCCCTTATATTTTACTCAAGCTACCTGCCCTTCATGCAGGGAGCATTTACACCCAGAGTGGGTCACCTTTAATCCTCCCCAGAACTATCACAAACCAGTGGGGTAATTTAGTAACCACACACCATTAATCCTGGCATCGCATACTTCAAATCCAGTCACCTCTGAAAAGCCCCCACCTATGACTTCATGAGGCTTTGAGAGAACATCAGGACACAAGCAGTAACAGCCATTTTTCTCAACCTAGGAAAATGTTTTTAAAAGCGTAATTTTCTTCCTCTCTTTCGTCCTCTTTCTCCTCCTTCTCCTTTTTCCTCTTTCTCCTCTTCTTTCTCATCCTTCTCCTCCTTTCCCTCACCCTTTTCCTTTTCTTCTTTCCCTTCCCCTCCTCTCCTTTTTTCTTCTTTGTTCTTCTCTGTCACCTTCTTTTGTGGTGCTATAGTTTGAATCAAGGGCCTTGCGCATGGTACTGCTGAACTAGACCCCCAGATACAGCATGTATGAAATAAAAAGCAAATGGAAAGTGATACTGATCAGTTTATCCAACTTTTCTCTCATAAATAATATCAATTCATGTTTCCATATTGAAAGATTATTGTTTTATTGAGTTATTTATGTCCAGTTTTATTCCAAAAAGATCTTTAAATTGTTCATAAAATACATAATAGTCAACAGTAAGTTGAAATTATCCCCCCCAAAAAAAAAACATAATAAGTGTGATAACAGTCATTGGACTCGTCCTTGTCTTGGATTATAGTGACATGTAAAAATCATCTGAAGGTACTGTGTTACACTGCAAATCATTTTAGGAATACCTGTAATATTTCATAAAGATAACATTTTTAATTTGTAAACAGTGACTTTTTAAAAACTGAGTTAAGTATGTTTTGAGGAGTAAGACTATGTAAAAAAAGTGTTTTGCCTTGTTTTGTTTACCAGGCATTAAACCCAGGGAGCACTGAGCTACATCCCCAACCTCCTTTTTTTTCTTTCTGATTTTGAGACAGAACCTTGCCAGGTTGCCCATGTTGGCCTTGTACTTGTGATCCTCCTACCTCACTTCCTGAGTACCTGAGGTTGTAGGAGTGCTCTATCACAACCAGCTAAAAAGAGCTTTCAATTTGTAACTTTACTAATTTCAGAGTTTCTTTTCCATAATATTTTCCAGAGCTTTTAAATATTATAATAGTAACACAAACTCAATTAACAGAATGTTCTTTCATTATTACCTTTCAAGTATATGTGTCCTTTGGAAGAGACTAAAGTGAGAAATTTAAAATATGAGAACTAGGGGCTGGGGATTTAGCTCAGCGGCAAAGCACCTGCCTGGCAAGTGCAAGGTCGTGAGTTCAGTTCCTGGTACTGGAGAAAAACCAAAAAATAAAATAAAATAAAATAAAATAAAATAAAATATGAGAACTAGAGGGGAAAAACACTTGAAAGCCTAGAAATTGTATTAGGATAATAAATCAATATATGCAGAGCCAGATCATAAAATGAACTTTTTATTTTCTAACAAAAGACATTTTAAATAAGCATGTTTAACTGCAGATTTGCCTTAAAACAAGAAGAGGAGAGGAGTAAAACTGTTGATGAGTTTTATGAAAAAATTAAAGAACAGTTAAGAAAAAAAGAAGAACAATATTGTCAAGAAGTTGAAGAAAAACAACAACTTGAAATTTCTCTTAGAGCACTACATATGAAATTGAAGACGGTAAGAAATAAATTGAATCTGGTAAATTAATCTTTGATAAAAGTTTCATCAAAATTATAGTATTTCTTTGATTTAATATATAGTCATGCATAGCTTAACATTGAGGGTATGATCCAAAGCTTGTGTTGCTTGGCAATTTTATTATTATGCAAACATAAGCTGATGACCACGCACCCTTAAAACATCACCGACATCACTGGGCAGTGTAATCTTAAGGGCCATAGCTGAGTGTGCAGTCCACTGTTGAACAAAACATTGTTATGCACCATGTGACTATATTATTTAGGTTGAAAACAAATGCTATCTCACCCTAAAAAAAACTTACATTTATAACTAAAAGTATTTATTATAAATCTTGACATCTAACAGTTCAGTGTGTTTTCTGAATAAAGGAATGAAAGTTGAGTTTAATCATGATTATAAACGTTACTTTCAGTATTTTTATGTGAAAGCTAACTAACTTTGAAACTAGTTAAATGTTTCTTAATGAAATTTTATTTTACAGTACTATCTGTGCCTATATTTAATAAATATTTTTACTCTTTAACTAATTTGAGCTGTCATTTATGCAATTTAAAACTTAAAACTGCTTGTGGTGGCACTCACCTGTAATCTCAGCACTAGGAGGCTGAGGCAGGAACATCACTGTGAGTTCGAGGCCAGCCTGCATTACATAGCAAGACTTTGTCTCAAAAAAAAAAAAGTACTTAATTATACTATAACCAATACTTCCTTTGAAACATTGGAATAATAAGGTTCCTACTATAAAAATATTTTAAGAAATATAAAATTGAAAACACTTAATCTAAGAGAGGAAAATGTTGTATCAAATGTTCATATTTTTCTCAAAGAAACAGAGATTTGTCTTCATTATATAGCTATACCCGGACTTTATAGACCATGCATTTGACCAACTGAAAACCTCTATGCGAAGTACCGTACCACACACCCTTCCCTTGCTCATCAGAATGCTGCTGAAGCTGCCCAGCAGTAACTGGAAATGAATAGATTTGAGAACCTTTATTCAGCAACTGCATCCAATAGCTTCCGCTCAGTGGCTTCAGCCCCCCTCACGGTCACGTCACTTATACAATACTCAATCCAGGAAGCCCTGTTGCATGATCCTTGCCCACTGAGTCGTGCTGAGAGAAAATAAGGTGTAGGTTGTTACCAGTGATGCACCATTGGCTACTGCAACTAACTGATGAGTCTTAAGGAGGACTGGGGTGTGTCTGGGGCCTCGTGCCCTGCATTGATTGCCACCTGCATTGTGAGTGATGAGCAGTTCAGCTTGTACAGAAGACCTCTTCCGTTGCCCACCACCAGCCTGAGACATCAGATTTTGCTTTCTCCCACCCAAGGTCAGTTCAGCAGGCCCCAGGGAGCAGGAGAGTATCTCCCTCCCTCCTTCCTCCAAACCCCTGCTCCTTTCTCACCACAGCCTCACACAGAGCCCCAGGCCATACTGAAAACTCCAGTATTTCCTCTTCACCTTGAAAGCATTTCTGACACCAGTGTCTGAACCCAGGGCCTCCCACTGAGCTGCATCCCTGGGCCATTTTTATGTTTTATTCTGAGACTGGGCCTCGCTAAATTGCCCAGGCTGGGCTCAAATTTGCTACCCTCATGCCTCAGCCTGCCTGAGTGCTGGGATCATAGACATGTGCCTTTACAGCTGGCCTGATTTATTTCTTTTTGGTTTTTTAAGATAGGGTTTAATTGTATATCCCAGGCTGGCCTTGAATTTACTATGTTACCCCAAGGCCTTCCACCAAGCTGCATCCCCAGGCCATTTTTATGTTTTATAAACACACAAGCTTCAAGCTTTTAGCAGTCCTCCTGGCTCAGCCTCCTGAGTGCTAGTATCACAGGGATGTGACACCAAGCCCAGCTCTTGTTTTAAATTTTGAGACATAGTTGTACTAAATTATAAAGGCTGGACTTGACTGAGGCAGTCTTCTGCCTCAGCTTCCCTACAGTATCAAATTTTATCAAAACAGAAAATATAATACTACCAAATAGCAAAGATTTTATATAGCTCAATATTTCTAAGTTCTTTATGTATACTCCCTCATTCAATTTTCCTAGCAGTCTAGTGAGGTATAGACACTGTTATTATCTCGGATTCACAGATGAAAACAGGACAAAGTTTATCTTCTTATGACCCCAGTGCTGGTGACTGGTGGATCTGGGACTCAGGCCCCAGCATTCTGGCTTCTGTCTAGATACTGTTTCTCCAACAGTTCCAGGAGCCATCTAGATGTTACTGAAGGGCCACAACAATTTTATTGTCAATGGCGTAGTTCTTGTCACTCATAAGTAAGAATTTTTCAAATCATACTTGATGAATGATACTTGGAATACATAAAGAATAGTGTAATGCTTAGAATATAAAAATACAACTAAAAAGACAGCATGAGTACAGGAATTTCCTCTTTTTCATCATTTTACCAAGACTTTTGTTTTTTGTTTTTTTCCTGCAACGCAGGGGTCTCCCTGTATTGCCCAGGCTGGTCTCAAGCCTCAGTCTCCCAAGTAGCTAGCACTATAGGTCCATAGCACTGTGCCAGCCTTTCTGTTTTGTCAGCTTGAGTACCTGATAACAGAGCTAAAATCAGGAATAGTATGCTTCAGGCCTAGAGCAGGGATCAATAAACTTTTATGTAAAGGGCAAGATAGTTTTAGTTTGGGCTTTGTGGTCCATAAGATCCCCACTTCAACAATTCAGTGAACTCTGTAGGCACAGCACAAAGGTAACTTTAAACAGTAAAGAAGTGGAGGTTATGGCTGTGTCCCAGTACAGTTGTAACACAAACAATCGTGGTGGGCAGTTATTACTAAGTTTTTTTTCATTTTAGTTGGAAGAAGCACAGGATCAACACACAGAAGCTGGACGACATGCTGAGATTCAAGAACACCTAGAAAAGTATGGTTTAAAGCAATATACAAATAACTTCAGCATTTATAAAGCAAATGACAATGTAATATGAGACATATGTCACTTATATAATTAACTAATCTGTCAAGCCAGGGAAAATCTAGCTTTGATAAAGTTGCTTAAAATGTGCAATTTAGGGCTGTGGATATAGTGCAGTGGTAAGATCGTGTGCTCTCTTGCAATGTGCTTTACATGTGAGGACCTGTGCTCAATCCCCAACACTGCAGAAGAAAAACTGTCCACAAGCTCAGCTGGAAAAATGATAATTCCCAAATCATCTAGCTTTCCTAATATTTAAAATTGTGTGTAGTCTTTCAAACGTTTAAATATTATATGACTTATTATATAGATCTGTGAAAATAATTATTTTGAAATAAATATTTTAGGCTTGACCTTGAGAATTCCAGTTTAAAAGTTAAAATAAAAGAACAAGCAGGTAGAATTGAACACCTTGAGGAAATCTTATTATTAAGTGCAAAATTGGTAAGTCAGTCTTTTTAATTTCTCTTTTTAATTTCTACCATAACAAAAAGGAGTTCTGATTTCTCTACCAGTATACAGGAGTATTTTAGGCAATGTGAAAATCATCATTGATGAAAAATACTTATCATAATCATACTGATACTACTTGCTACAAGTAGTGAAGTTCTTTTAACTTTATAGAAAGTAAATTATTTCATATAATTAATGACTTTGGCAGTGAAATTTTAACTAAAAAATATTGTGATAGTCTAAAATCCCTATTTTATATAAACATTTTGTTCATCCATTATCCACTGATAGACTTTTTTTTTTTTTTTTTTTTTTTTTTTTTGGTTTTTCTCCGGTACCGGGAACTGAACTCACGACCTTGCGCTTGCCAGGCAGGCGCTTTGCCCCTGAGCTAAATCCCCAGCCCCTCCACTGATAGACTTGAGAGTTATTTCCATACTTCTTTGGAAATAATGCTGCTCTGGATATTGATATATAACTGAGTCCTACCTCATGATTCATAATAACTTTTAAAATTCCAGGAAATTAAATTTTGTGATCTAGAATTTTGAATTTCTATTGCAATCAAAACCTTTCCATGAGATCTTGTAATTTATATTCTCATCAGGAATGGATACTAGGTCACTATGAAAGCATTTTTCCCCAAAGAAACATGTATTTCTCTTTGATTGTAAGAAGGGGAAAAGATGTCAGTAAAAAAGTAGACGTGGCTATTTATCTTACAGAGTAATTAGTGCTCCTAGCATTGCAGTTTCAGAATTTTTCTGTTCACTTGTGTTTATCAGCCACTCAAAGATGTCACAGTCCAAGACTGATGCATAAGTCCGGGTGACAGTTTGCTGATGTATAATGAGACCATGTAACTGTTGACCAGGCAGAGAAGAATCTCCTGTTGTTCATGCTCTCCTGTGTGGCAATTAGGGTCACAGGATGCAGTGTGCATGAAATTGGAGCTGTGAGGCAGCTCCTTCCACTGACTGACTTCCTTAAGTCACAACAGTTTTAGTCCATCTGACTCCATTACACAGATACATGTTGTTACGACTTGTGTCTAGGTGGCCCCCAAACCCTCATCCGGTCGTAGGTGTGGCTTTTTCAGAGGTGGCTGGACCTGAGGTGTGTGATGCTGAGATTCAGGGTGTGTGATTAATAAACTGGTCCACTGATTGGTTTGGCATAGTTCTGGGATCAAGAATGTGATGCTAGGATTAAGGGTGTGAGTGCTACCCGTCCTAAAGGTGAATAGCCTGGATAAGATACAGGGACAGAAAGAGGCCTGTCGCTTGTCACATTTGCTGCTGCTGCTTCTGTTGCTGCTTGCCTTCTCTTCTGCGATGCACCTGTGCCAGGCCACCCTACCTTGGAGCCAGCCAACTATGAACTGAAACCTCTACAAACTGTGAGCTAAAGAAACCTTTCCTCTCTTAACTTGTGGGTGTTGGGTATTTTGTCACAGCAATAAGAAAACACATGTTATCAGGGGAACTACAGCATTGTATTCCGACTAGTGTTTTTCTGAAGAAACATGGAGAATTAACTTTTTCTAGATGTCACATAAATCAGTCCTGTTTCATTACCATATTTTTCATATATAACATGACAATATGTTGATAAGGAGTCTTTGATAAATTAAAATGCCAGGGCATCCTCTTACATTAAGTGTCATGCACAAATGTATTGAGGTGTTGAAAAGTTGCAACAGTACAGTATAAAACGGGAAATTATTTGAAAGAAAACAGTCTGACCCTAAGAGGAAAATAGCATTATAGAAGCAAAACAAGATAAGTGATGCTGGTCAGCATTCTAAGGGTGAGTGCCCCAACCTAAGGTGAGAAGATGACTAAATTCAAAGTAACAGCAGCGTGACTCAATACAAAAGTATAGGATTCACTTCAGAAGTAACCCATACCAAATAATGGCTGATGAGGCTTTTTCTTCTGCGAAATGAACTAAAAGGAAGAAATGAAAGTGTAAGTGACCCCTGTCCAGAGGTCAGAGCTATTAGGTTGTCAGTATCGAAGGCTCTGATTTAGGGCCACTGAGAGTCTGATGTGAACTGGGGACAAGACTTAAGCTGCTGCCTTAGGAGAGCAGTGGTGGAGGAGCAGAGAGAAGCCCCGGTCACAGTGAGCAGAGGCTGGAGGAGTTGGCAGGATAAGAACCCTATCGAAATAAAAGTCCTAGGTGACCCTCCCATTATTTTATTGCAATTACAGCACAAAAAATCAGATTTTAATGCACACAAGGAATGAAAAAACTAGATTTGTAGATGAGACCATTTATCAGAGACCGTTAGAGTCCCCTGGAGGGGAAGATACAAGATGATAGAAAAGCCACAAGAATGATGCAAAAGTTACATTTTTGTACATTACAAAGAAGACAGATTTTAAAGAAAAATGTTTAATAGCAAAAAGACCAAAAAAAGAAATTCCTGGGTTGGGGACATAGTTCAGTGGCACAGCACCTTCCTGGCAAGCTCGAGGTCCTGAGTTCAATTCCCAGTACCAAAAAGAAAAGAAATTCCTGAGAGAATGCTTATAGCAAATAAGTATCTTTCTCATCCCAAAGTCAAGTGAGGTTCAAAATATGATGAAATCAAGTAGGTGCTTCCAAAACTTGCCTTGATAAAACATGGCTTAGATAAAACTGGAGTATCTTAAGCTATTGATGGGAAGGCTTCTAGGAGATCTTTGGAAACTAAAATGGAGCTTCAACTATTCTTTTTTAAATATTTTTCATCAACATTTATGTGCAAAACTTTTATTTTTAACAAATCTTGGCAGTACAAATTTTGGAAAACATGATGAAAATATGATGAAAGTACATGTTAATGTAAGCTATGTTCAGAGAAACAGTTATTTCTGAAGTCTGTACTTACTGGCATCAGTTTTATACATTGCATTGAAATACATTCATGAGCTCAGGAGAAGTAATATTTTTAAGAAAAAATGAATCTCTAGATTTTCAAAAAATAATTTTAAATTGTTTTTCAAAGTCTGAAAATGATCAGGAACAGTTAAAGAAACTTACTGAGTTAAAAAAATATCTGGAATATACTTTGGATGAAGAAAAGAAGAAAAACAGTGAATTAATAAAAGAGCTAACTGGGTAAGATTTTCATATGCCAAATCTTATCAACCATGCATTAAGTGCTTTCATTAACTTTACTAAAACTAAGTATGAATTTAATATTTGCATTTTAATAATTAAATAGATTTACTTCAGAAACCTACAGCATAATCTGTTTTTTGACTGCCAAAATATTGTCTATGGCCATACCACCCTTGAACACCCCCGATCTCATCTGAATGCTAAAACACTATTTACTCTTAACATTTCTAAAATATGACACTGCTTTGAAATAGTGTCAAGTACACTCTTTTTCATCTATCTTCAATTTCTATCTCTAAAGATATTTTTTGCTCTCTCTTTTGGTAATATCCTTCCATCTAGCATTGAAATATTTTATTATCTAGCAACCTATGTCATTCTTTAACAACACTAAACTTAATCTTGATTTTGCTTCTATTTCCTTTATACCTCTTTCTCTTTTTTTAGCTATAAAATCTATCACAAAGTTACACTTTTTTCCATGGATAATCTCATGTGTGAATGAGGAATACATGTTATTAAGCTTCTGTCTGCTTATCACGTGTGTGTGTTCATATACATGTACAATATATAAATAATGTACAGTCATCCTTTGATATATTCAGAATATTGGTTCCAGGACCCCCTCAGATACCAAAATCCTTGGATACTCAAGTCTCTTTTATATAATGGTGTGATGTTTACATATAACCTAATCAATCCTCTCATGCTTTATATCATTTCTGCATTACTTATAATATCTAATGTAATGTAAATATTATAGAAATCATTATTATATCATTGAGGAAGTAATGACGAGGAAAAAAGACCAGTACATGTTCGGTGCAGGTCCAGTTTTTTTCTGAGTGTTTTCAGGCCACGATTGGCTGCATCTTTGGAAAGAAAAGCTACAGGAAAGAAAGGTGACTACATAGGTCTCCTACATACCAAATGTATGTATGACTTACAGATGCAAATGTTTCTCTCACCAGATGAAGAAAATGAAATATTGTCTAGAGTGTTCAGGCCCCCAACATGGCTGCTTCTCTATTTCTTCATGGAGAACTTGAGTTTATGATTCTAATCAATATTTGTTTCTTCTTTAGCTGTCTGTCTTTACACTGTTTTGCACCTCTTGCATTTCACCATTGTGGTAGCAAAACCCGAAATTTCTTCCTAAAACACCCTTTTAGTCTACCTTTAATTTTTCTATTGATTTTCTTTCTCCTAAGTTCTGCCTCTTCTTTTCCTCTTCAACTCAGATTTCAAAGATGATGTTTCCTATCTCTCTCTTTTTCTTTGAATGATCTGCTTGATCTCTTCTTTGCTTTTGCTTTTTGTCTGGGATTGGGCCTATGTCCTTGCACATGCTGAACACATGCTCTATCACCGAGCTACACCTCCAGTCCACCTTGAGATTTTTCTTTTCTTGTACACCATGGTTAACAGGTACCAAAGTGTATATTTTTTATCTTTTTAAGCATTCTCATAAAAGTATATTTTTCTTTACCTTGTTTTCTGATTGCTAGCTTTTAGCTAATATTAACAATTTCATATTTTATATTAATATACCAAAGAGGATATTAATTATAAGAATTCTGTATATGGTTACAGTATTAGCTCTTTACCTACCACATATACATCATAAATGTTTTCTGCATGTTATTTATCTAGGATTATAATTGCATCAGAATGCTTTCAAATAATGTTAGGTTGAAACAAATGATAAAAGATCACAATTTCTAAATTTGTTTCTTTTATGATAGAATATAATATCTGTTTAAAGAGTTAAAACCTTTAAAACTTCACTTTGTACATCCTTGCAGATTGAAGAAACTTTGGAAAATGATAGAAACAAACTTAAATGAGCAGGAAAATGGACAGTTTTGTTTTCATGGAAATTTAACATCCAGTGAATCTGAAAGGAATAGTCCAACTGATGCTCTAATAGACAAGGTAATTTTTCATTAGTTTTGGGAACAAAAATTACTTAGTTTAGGAAACTATGAATCTCTGTGTTTTGAGCAGTGAAATGAAGGTTGTTTGTGTTTGTTTTTACTTGTATAGGTTTGATATGAATAAGAAATGTACCACTTTTCTATTAAAACATCATACTGTTGTCTTAAGTCCTGGCTAATGAGACAAAGCCAACCTGTACACCATTACAGTTCCCCAAATCATGTGTACCAAACGAATTTTGAGGGGTTGGCTATATCTTTATTGAAATACTGTTAATGTACTTTGAAATTCAATCATTTAAAGTATGCAATTTGGTGGCTTTTAGTATATTCACTGAGTCAGTATTACAGTTTCAGTCTGGGGGTCCCCCTAAAGCCTCATTCAGTCATGGGGCGGGTTTCTAGATTTATGATTGATCCATAGTCCAATGCTGGGGTTATGGGTGTAAGTGCTACACTTGCCCCTAGGGCAGATAGTTTGCATATTTTTTTAATTTATTTAAAAAACTAAAAGAAGGAAAACATATTAACAAACGGACATCCATTTACAAAATAGCATAAGAATAATACAAACAATACAGAGTTACAGACAAAGTTGTAGGAAATTAACAATGGTTGTATTACATATTGATATCTTCAAAGTGGTTTCTCAGGAAAACAAATAGACACATGCAAGATTGATCAAACAAGTAACCATTAATTGTTACTTTCATTAAAGCAATAGAAGACAGTAGCACAACTATGTTACCTATCCTGTATATACATACATACATAATTTCCCCTTCTTTCCCTTGTCTTTTCCTACATCCCAGTTGCCCTTTACTTTTGAGCATTTTCCTTTCTTTTCACAATGTCTATCATACCTCCTAGTTTTTATTTACTCTTTCAGGTTGTTACATTACTAAGACAATACGTTGCTTACACATACAGGTCTGATTTATTTCACTTATGAGTATGGTCTCTAGTTGTGACCATTTACCTATAAAAGCCTCGAATTTATCTTTCCTTATAGCTGAGTAATATTCCATTATATAAAAGTACCACAATTTTTTTTATCCAATTCTCACTGGATGGACATTTGGGTTGCTTCCACAATTTAGCAATTACAAATTGCACTGCTATGAGCATGGGTGCACACATATTGCTGTGATGTGGTGTTTTTAGAGCTTCTGAGCAAATACCCAGAAGGGGAAATAGCTGGGTTGAATGTGACCTCTAGACCTAGTTTTCAGAGGAATCTCCAAACTGATTTGCACAGTGGTTTCACCAGTCTGCATTCCCACCAGCAGTGGAGAAGGGTTCCTATTTCTCCACAACCATGCCAGCATTAATTGTTGGTTGATTTCTTAATGTTAGCCATTCTTACTGGGGTGAGAGGAAATCTCAGTGTTGTTTTAATTTGCATTTCTCAAACGATTAGTGATGTTGAACATTTTCTCATGTATTTATTTGCCATTTGTATCTCCTTATCTGAGAAGTGTATATACATCTCAGCTGCCCATTTTTGGATTGAGTCTTTGAATTTGGGGGGGGGGCTGATGTTTTTTAATTCTTTATATGCTCTAGATAGAACTTCGTCCAAGGGACAATCTGCTAAAATTCTTTCCCAATTTGTGAGTTTTCTTTTTACTGTGCTGGTGATTTCTTTAGATGTGCAGAAACTTTTCAGTAGGATGAGATCACAGTCGTTAATTCTGTGAAGTATTTCACGTGCAGTTTGGTTTTTGTTCATAAACTCTCTGCCTACCCCTATGTCTTCAAGGTTTTTACCTACTTTGTCTTCCAATAGATTTAGTGTTTCTGTTTTAATATTGAGGTCTG